AAAGTTCCCGCTGCGAAGATGGCGTCGAGCTGCACGAACTTTGGGCCCCGGGGCGGGGCGGGCGGGGGCGGCGCGTCGCCGCGCGTGTCCGTGGGTCCGGCGGGGCTGGGCCGGCGCCCGGAGCGCTTCCCGCCGCGGCGGCCGGGGGCGGGGCCGGGGGCGGGGCCGCACCGGCCGCAGCCGGTTTGGGGGCGGGCACCATCGGGTCGGGGTGGCGGTGGGGGTGGGGACTCGGCCGCTGCCCGCGCTGAGCCGGCCGCGTCCGCAGGGCCCTGCCGTGGAGTTCGCGCTGCCACAGGAGCCGGAGCCGCGGGCCGCGGACCTCGGGGCCCCGGGGGCGGGGGCGGCGGGGCCACCGACGCCGTCGGCGCACATCCCGGTGCCAGGGCATAGGTGAGCCGGGGTTCGCGTGCCAGGCCGAGGGGGCGTGTGCACCCGTACGCCTGTGTGTGCAGGGGTGGTGGATGGGGCGCGGGCTGGAGCCTTCCAGACCCCACCCCTGCGAGGGGCGCCTCGGTGGAGGGCAGGTCAGCATCCTGAACTGGGTTTCTGTCCTTGCCTTTCGGCTCTCCAGCCCTGGAGGAGTTAAGCAGAAATGACCGATGTATCAGTATGCCTTGTTCCTCCCCAAACCCTGAGAGCCAGAGCGCAGAACTGGGAGGGGGCGCCTGTCAGCCTCTGTGCCCAGGAGGCTGTGAGGCCCGCGTGGAATCGACTGTCCAGGCATCCCGGGGCCCCTGATGGCTGTCTGGCCAGCTCTGTCTGCAGAGAGAGAAACCCTCCCAGGTGCCTGACACCCCGGGCTGGCTGCGCAGGCGGGGGCGGGCCCTGGCCTTGCCCGCTGGGGCCCAGGGACCCGCTTGTGCTTGGAGCCCAGGCTCCGCTGGCTGCTGCTGGCTGCTGGCTGCTCCCGCCCTCCCAGGTCTGGCGCTAGGCCCGCAGCTGCTGTTGCACAACCCTGGTTAATGTGTGATTGGGGGGAGGGCTGGCCTGGCCTGGCCCCACCGGCGGGGCCTCAGACCCCTGTCCAGCAGCAGGGTCTGAAGGAGCCACGGTGGAACAAAGCCCAGGCTGCAGAGAAGTCGGGCTTTGGAAAGACCCCAGCCCAGGCTTGTTCCCGGTGGCTCCTGGGGATTTGGAGCTCGGCAACCCAAGCTGGAGGTGGAGCTGGGCCTCCTGCCCAGCTCCTGGAGTGAGGGAGCTGGGTGCACACACGTGCCCAGGCCTGCACGTGTGCCGGGACGGGGACGGGCCTGGAGTACTTCTTGGGCCCTACCCACCCCTCCACCCCCCCATCCCCATCTCCTCCAGAGCCCCCCCAGGAAAAGCCCGGCTGGACGAGGTCATGGCTGCTGCAGCCCTCACAAGCCTGTCCACCAGCCCCCTCCTGCTGGGGGCCCCGGCTGTAGCCTTCAGCACAGGTGAGACTTAGAGGCCTGGCTTGGGGTGGGGGGTGCCGGCAGGGCTCAGGACCACTGTCCCTCCAGGACCCTACAAGCTGCTGTGGGGCAAGCAGAGCCGCTCACCTGGAATACCATCTTCTAAGTGCATCCATCTCCTGAGGTCTAAAGCGACATCAGGACCCCCATGGCCCCTCCCTGCGGCCAAAGCTGCAGTGCCCCAGGCCTGCAGGCCTCCATGACCTGTCCATCTCCACCTGGCTGGCCAGGCAGCTCCCCACCCCGTACTCTTCTGGTCTTCCTTCTCTGTGCTGGAGGGGCTCGTCCCTGGGCTGCCGTGGTCAGCTCCTCCCGGCCACTACCTCCTCCAAGAGGTTCTTTGCCCTCCAGGCTCACCTGTGGACAGGTGAACAGGCGGAGGTTTTGCACTCAGGGACTCGTAGCCAGCAGGGTCTGCAGCACAGCCGTGGCCCCCAAAACTCCTGATGCTGGCGCCGGTGTGTGTGTCCGCAGAGCCCAGCTTGGAGCCTTGGCGGGAGGCCCCGGTGCGGCCACCGGGCAGCAGCGGCAGCAGTGGGGATGGGGGCTGGGGCCCGACCAGTGACCAGTCCTCTCCATCTACCCCGTCGCCCCCGCTGCCCCCTGAGGCAGCTCACTTCCTGTTCGGGGAGCCTGCCCTGAGGAAGAGGAAGGTGAGCCAGGGCAGCCCTTGGAGCGGGGTGGACGTGGGGGGCGCCGAGGCTGACCGCCCCCTGTCACCCAGAGCTCGCTGCAGGGGCTGTTCCAGTGTCTGTGGAAGCGCTGCGGGAAGGTGCTGAGCTCGGCGTCAGGGATGCAGAGACACATCCGTCTGGTGCACCTGGGGTGCGGCGGGGCCGGGGGTGGGGGAGGGGCGGGGGGCGCCAGGCAGGCCTCTGCGTCAGCTCGCACCCCACCCCCCGCCCCCCAGCAGGCGGCAGGCAGAGCCAGAGCAGAGCGACGGCGAGGAGGACTTCTACTACACGGAGCTGGATGTCGGCGTGGACTCGCTGACCGATGGGCTGTCTGGCCTGACCCCGGGGTCCCCCACGGCCTCCACGCCGCCCGCCTTGCCCCGCCTGGAGCCGCTGGAGCCCCCGGCCCTGCCCAGCCTGCTGCGCCCGCCCGCCCTGCCCCCGCCCCCGGTGCTGAGCTCCCTGCCCGCCCCCCAGGTGTGCCCCAGTGGCCCCGCTTGCCAGGTGGGTGAGGCCTCGGGTGGCTCTGGAGGGGCGCGAGGCCACAGCGGTGTCTCCTCTCAGGGCTGCCTGGCACCCGTCCACCCGGAGCCACAGCCCATCCCGGTCAGGGCCTGCGCGCCAGCCCTGCCCGCCAAGCCCGGTGCCAACCCGAGGTGCGTGTGTGTGTAAAGGGGCCGGGGAAGGCACCGGGCGGGAGGCTCCCGGCCCGACCGCACCCCATGCCCCCCATGTGTCCCCCCAGGAAGCCCCGAGGTGACGCCAAGAAGTGCCGGAAAGTGTATGGCATGGACCACCGGGACCTGTGGTGCACTGCCTGCCGCTGGAAGAAGGCCTGCCAACGCTTCCTGGACTGAGCCCCGCCCGCCGGGGCCTCTCCTAGCTGCAGGGTCTTCTTTTTAACCGGTGGGGGGCGGTCCCCACCACTCAAAGTGCCTCTGAAGAAACCAGCCTCTTGGCCTTTTGCACTAAAGCCAAACCTCACAGCTGTCCCCTTGGCCTGGGGTCCCCAGGGGTGGCCGCCCCCCACCTGTCGGCCCTGGACTTGTCAGGGGTGTGACGGGCCCCGCTTTGGGGCCACACGGGGCCGTCCTCGATGCACTTTGAGGGGTGTCGGGGAGGGGGCGCCCCTGCCCGCACTTAATCTGACTGTTTGAGGGCCCGGGTGGACATTTGTACCGTGTTTGCCAAGCTCAGGTGTCTCACGTCTGGGCTGAACCAGGCGAGGAGTAACATTAAAGATTCGGGATTTTTCCAAAAGCTGTGTCTGCCTCCTGGGGGGAGGGACACGGAGCCAGGACCCCGCCATGGGCAGGGATGGCGGTGGGCAGACAGGAGGCCAGCAACCAGGCCACAGAGGGCTGCGGGGGGGGGGGGTTACTCTCTGGCCCCCTCTGCCCAGGGTGAGGCCGGAGGAGGAGATGCTGTCTGAAACACACACGAGGCATCTGCTCAAGCAGCAATTTCCCAGTTTATTGAAAGTGATCGCTTTGCAAGAAAGTCTAACTAATCCCGTCACAGAAAGGAGACCCACAGGCGGGCCCGGAGTGCGCCCGGCAGACAAGAAATCTCAAGACCACTAGGGAGGAGGTGCTGTTGGCCGTTGACGGCTCCGGGGAAGCAGGCGATGGCCGTGATGTCCCACTGACCAGTTACAAAAGACTCCCCCAAATATGAAACACATCTCCAATACAAACACAGGTTTATAATAATTCATATAAAGTCGATATAATATAGATTATCCCCAGAAAAAAATCAACAATCTTCAAACACTGCCCTTTTTCTGTTTTGTTTGTGTTGACAGGTTGAAAGCATGTTGAAAAAATAAATATTTAAGAAAAGCACACACACAGCGCCCTCACTACAAGTAGTTCTAAAAAGGGCCACGTACAAAACACAATATAGGATCTAAAAAATAAAAACACCATTAAGTATGGCTTTCTTAAGAGTTGCACATGTCACAGAATGAGCGAAAATAAGATTATCTTTCATATAATATTGCAAAAAGTTCCAGTTTTTGCATTTTTTCAGAGTTCTCTTTTTTAAAAAGGAAGATGTGCAAAGTTGGAAGCAGTAGCTGTGTTCTTTCAGTTGAGGTCCCTATCCAGTCCTGGCAGTGTTGTGACTGTTCCCAAACCCAGAGTTCAAGCATACAACCCGGTCAGGATCCAGAGCTTGATACAAAATCTTGGTTCCCCCGCCCCTCCCCCACCCCCAAAGACCTTGCCGCCCGATGGACCGCGTCCCACATCGGCGTTGCAGACACCAAACACAGACGCACACAGACGGAAAGGTACAAAATGTGAGATGTGATCTACACGCTTTTCCGCTTCATAAAAAAATATTTATTAGTTTAAACATTGATTTGGGAAAAAAAAAAAGATCACGTTAAAAAAGAAACTTTCGTTACGCGTCTTTCCCTCCACGCCTCTGGAGGCGATGTGTTCGCCTGCATCTCTGAAATCCAGCTCTCGAGTTAACCGCACACGAGAATCGTGAACACACGGGGCTCGGGGGCGGGAGGTGGGACCCTCGGTTTTCCAGGGTATTGTTTTGAGGAAGAAAATGCCCTTGTGGCACTGAGGGCCCCGTCAAAAGTCAGCCAGGACGGTCCGGAGCAGGAGTGAGCAGGTCCTGAGTGTGGCGCAAAGGTGGCCTGGGGCGCAGGCAGCGGGCTGAGAGGTGGCCCCATACAAAACCCAGAGACGCTTGGTAGCAAAGGTCTGGTTTCCAAATGCATTTGATAAGAAAGTAAGTCTGTTTATAAAAGGGGTTAGAAAGTGGGGGAAAGGTACACAGTGGGGAGCCCCACTGAGGGGCTCAGCCGGGCCCCACTGTGAAAGGCAGACCGGGGCACTGGCCCCGGAGGCACCCCAACCCGCCCTGGGCTCCTGCCCCCAGCCCGGCCCGGCCCTTCTCTAAGGATGCCGGCACTGAGGAGTTCGCAGCGTCCCTAGCTGAGGATGGGAGGGCAGCCCTCTTCTGACTGAGAGAAAGGTGGCTATGTTTAAAACAAAGCAAAACAAAAAATGAAGCTGCGACTCCTCCCCGGGCAGGGCTTCAAGGACAGCACCCGTCCGTGTCCACGCAGCTAGCCACTTACTAAGGAGGGTTCTGTGGGATTTGCCTTTCTCCACCTAGAAAGAGTAGATGGGACCCGGGAGAAATGCAGTAAAGCCATTCGGCTTGCAGGCTGTGGGGAGAGAGAAAATCAAGCCAGTGTCTCCTTCGGCTCTAGCTCAGCACCCAAGGGGCCCTGGCGTGGTGTCCCGCAGGGGCTCCCAAGCGAGGTGGGTGGAGGGGATGGAATGTATGTGTCATGAGCCTGAAAGGGAGACAGACCGGGGTTGGGCCCACAGTGTCCTCACAGCACACGGCGGGGCCCCGGCTTCTCAGAAAAAAGATAGAGAAGGGGTCATAAGCGTGTTTAAAAGACGGCGAGGGGGCTTGGGAAGAAACCAAAGGAAAGACACGTCTGCGAGTGTGGTCGAGCGGGAAAGATAACACCAAACAGAACCATGTTACGTGGCAGCCTCAGTTTCCTTAGCTACTCACGGAACCGGGGCCCGAGCACCTGGGGAGGGGCGGCCCCCGCAGGCGGCGTGAGCAGCAACGAAGGCGAGCCGCCCGGAACGGTCAGCAGGAGTGGCCTGGGCGCGGCAGGACGGGAGGGGCGGAGGGGCGAGCCAGCCCAGAGAAGTGCACACAAAGAAAGAGGAGGCCCCTACGGTGGGAGCACCTGGGCCCCCCGCCCAGCCGCCTCCGTGGGGGGATAGCACCTGGGCGCCTGGGCACCTGGGCACCTGGGCGCCTGGGCACCTGGGCACCTGGGCCGAGGTCGGCAGCTGCTGCGTGTTGAGCACCAAAGCCCAGAGGCGGGGGGGCCGCGGGGCTTTCTGGACGCCAGACCTGGATCTCGCAGGCTGCCACCGGACGGCACAGCCCTCGAGGGCGGGGGCAGTGGCAGCTGCCAGCAGTGACCCCACTGCTGAGAAGGGGGAGCGGAGGCGGGGGGACTCGGCCCTGGACGGGGCCCAGGGTCAGGAGAACTCTCCTAACAGCTCCCGGACCCGGGCCTCGGGGCCACACTTGGGACCACAGCCAGCGCTGGGCCCCACACGTCACGGCGCGTCCGACGCCAGACCGGTGCGTCCTGGGCACCCCTGATGCCCGCCCCGCGCCCCTGCTGGGGGAGGTGACAAGGGCTCTCCCTGGGCTCAGACCCGCCCCACGTGCGTCCCCAGCCCCACTCGCTGGGGCAGCGCCTGCCTCTGAGCCCCGGGTGTCCTCGAGGGGTGGGGGAGAGCAGGTGAAGGGGGCCCGGGGCGCACGCAGGCGGGGGCGGCCGCTGCCCAGTGCCTGGCCCAGCCTAGGAGATCCAGGTGAAGTCCTTGTCGGTGCCCCCGGCAGGGCTGCGAGGCCCCCGTGGCGAGTCCTCGACCTCCCTGTCGTCCCCCAGTAGTGCGTCCTCGGGGGCCAGGCCCACGTCGTCCTCGTCCTCGCCCAGCTCCTCTTCGCCCTCGCCGCGTGGGTCCTCGGGGTCCTCCAGGTACGGCCCGTCGCCCGCGAACAGCTCAGGAGAGCCCTCGGCGCCGCCGCCATCCAGAGGCCCGGCCCCGCCGCCACCCGCGCAGTCGGCACACACGCCGTGGCGCCGCGAGCCGTGCTTGATGCCCACGCTGGCGGCCGACATGAACACGCGGCTACACAGCTTGCACACATACTTCTTGTCCTTGCTGTGCACCTGCGGGGGGACAGTGGTCAGTGCGAGGGGACGATGGTCAGTGTTGGGGGACGATGGTCAGTGCGGGGGGACGGGGGGATGGCGGTCAGTGCGGGGGGACAGCGGTCAGTGAGGGGGGACGATGGTCAGTGTGGGGGGACGATGGTCAGTGCGGGGGGACGGGGGGACGGCGGTTAGTGCGGGGGGGATGGCGGTCAGTGAGGGGGGACGATGGTCAGTGTGTGGGGACGATGGTCAGTGTGGGGGGATGATGGTCAGTGCAGGGGGACGGCGGTCAGTGCGGGGGGACGATGGTCAGTGCGGGGGGACGGCGGTCAGTGCGGGGGGATGATGGTCAGTGCGGGGGGACGATGGTCAGTGCGGGGGGATGATGGTCAGTGCAGGGGGACGTACTGTTAGTGAGTGGAGGGGGAGGTCTGGGTGGCCCAGAAGCTGAGATCTGGGTGGGTGGGGGCAGTCTGCTAGGCTGCTCAGACCCCTAGCCCTGGCCGGGGGCCGCTGCACAAAGCCGGAACACGCAGAATTGCAGGTGCCACCAGAACTCATCCCCACCCAGAGGGCTGCTGGGCACTAGGCCGCCCATGCCCCCCCCCACCCCGGGGGCTTGCTGCCCCCACACCTCCCAGTGAAGCAGGCAGAGCGCTCACCTCTGCCCCGCCCCCGCTTTTGCCCCATGAGGGGATGGCCAGGGCTCTGGTGGCTCCCGGCTTGGGCCTGGGGGGCCTGGGGCCACGGGTGATGGGAGCCCAGGACAGCAGTGACCGAGAGGGACTCGAGGCACCTGCCTTCTGGGAAGCCGTCAGGACAGCCGGGAGCTGGGCTGAGTGCCCAGCCCGCGGGACGGCAGGGTCGGGGGTCTCAGGGGGACCGTGATTGCTGCTTGAATGCTGCCTCCTGCCTTTCTGAATTCTCCAACCGACGGGTCTGGCCGAGCGCCCTTGGCTTCCCAGCTCAGCGGTCCCGCAGACCACCGTGAACGTCTGCCCCATCACAGCCTTCCCTGAAACCCGACCACGAGGACCTATGACTGCTGCCAACCAGCCTAGGCAGGCGAGAGGCCGGATGCGCCCTGGTCGGACGTCAGGAGGAGCTGGCCCGCCTCACAGGTTCTGATTCCAGAAACGAAGCCTCAAATCACTTGGCTCCCGGGACCCTTCCTGGGTCTTTTTCATTTGTTACATTTTAAACCCAGGGCTTCCGGGACCCTCTGCAAAGAATAAAGACCCCAGTCCGGTCACAGCAGGGCTGGGCAGTGGGGACAGCTCCCAGGGAGCCACGGAGCCTGTCCTCTGGGACCAGATGGCCGGACACTCGTCCCAATGGACACATGGATGGGCGGGGAAGGGTGTGGGCGCTGTGGAGACCCAGAACTCGGCTCCACAGGGAGACAGCTGCTGAGACTGCCCACCCACCCCCTGCCCCCTGGCTAAGCCTCCCGGGCCGGGTGGGGCAGGAGCAAGCTGCCCTTCTGCCGTCAGGGGAGGTTCAGCTGCCTCCCAGCCCTGCAAACCTGCCCGTCGGGGAGAGTCCACCAGCCTGGGCCCTGGCTCCGAGGGCTGCCTCCCCCTCCAGCTTTTCCACCTGGCCTCAGGGAGCCTCCCCGGGGAGCCCAGCCCCAAATGAGGCCCAGGCCGTGGGCTGTCCCTCGCTCCCTCGCGTGGCTCACCCCGTTGGGGCCACCCCTGAGGTCTCGCCTCGGCCCCCCTCGCCGCAGGGATGTGGCCCCTCCACCCCTCCTGCTGGTCAGAGGATCAGGGTGCTGCGGGGGCCCGGCCCAGCCTGTGTGGCCCTGAGGCCCCCTCACTCATGACATCACCCCAGCGTCCTCTCCCCACCCATGCCCCAGCCGCCTGGCCTTCCTCGTTTCTCACCCGCCCAAGGGTTCCTCACGCTGTGTTTTGATGAATCTGCCTCCCTGTTTCAAGGGTGACCTTTTCTATCACTTCCTGGCCAAGCAAATTCATCTGCGCAGCACCTGCTCCTGAGCTGCGAGCCAGGCCGTCAGAACCTTCCAGGGGCTGCGGGGGAGAGAGGCCAGGGTCCCACGGCAACTGCAGGGTGGGGCACGGAGGAAGTGGCCACGTGGCAGGAGCCAGGGGGCAAGGGCAGGGTCCTGGCAGGTTAGGGAGCACCTGCAGAGGCCGGGCTGGAGCAGAGGGGGTCCCAAAGGGGAAGCTGAGGAGTGGGGCTGCGGGGCGATGTGCTCACCTGCCCTTCTGCACCTGGGGCCGGGGGCAGAGCTGCTCAGGAGGGATGTGGGCTTGGGGTGCCTCCCCGCTGTCCTGGTCTTTCCCACTGTCGGGCGGACCCCACTTCAGGGCTTCCCGTGGCATCCTGGACAGCCCAGGGCCCCATCCTGCCCGGACACCGCAGCCCCATGCAGAGCGTGCCCTGGACCGACCCTGTGCTGACCGCACGCTGACCCCATGATGACCCCTATGCTGACCCACGCCGAGCCCCCACTGACCACATGCCAGCCCCACGTGGCCCTGCGCCCGCTCACCAGAGTGTGCCGCTTCATGTGCTCGCGCCGCGTGAACTTCTTCCCGCAGATCTCGCAGGGGTAGGGCCGCTCGCCCGTGTGGGAGCGCATGTGTCTCTTGAGGATGCACTGGTGCATGGCCGAGAAGCTGCAGTAGGGGCAGCGGAACTTCTTCCTGATGACCGTGAACTCGTTCACTGCAAGACAGGCGGTGGCCGGTCAGCCTGCGGACCCTGCACAGCCCGCCCACCGCCCGCGCTCGGCTGTCCCCGTGGGGCTGGGGGTCCAGAGCCTCCAGTCAGGCCTGGCCCAGAGCAGAGAGGGCTGCTCCCACGTTCTAAGAAAGCGCGCTTCTCAGATCAGCCAGTACCTCCCGTGTCAGCCCCTAAAACACACGAGTGCACGCGCGGAATCAACAGACACAGGAGCGCGGACCCGTCTCCGCCCCGTCCACGTGTCTGCACGGCGCAGCCAGGGCAGGGGTGCCACCTGGTGGACACGGCCCAGCGAGAGGCCACCAGCCCCCGATGCGCAGCAAGCTGTCCCTCCCCGTGTTTCAGGGAGTGATACCGTGGGCCCCCGGGCCGGGGCCACATTCCAGGGGGCTCGGGGGGAGGTCAGGGGTTGGGGTCCATGGGGTCAGTCCCGCTCTGCGAGGCCCCCGGGCACTGGGCAGCTCACCCCGAGTGACACCCTTTGTGCCGAGCACCCGCGGACACCACAGTGACCCCCTCTTGAGCCAAGGGGCATCCATTGAGGACTCAGCCCTAAGGCCTCCTGGGCTGGTCGTCCCCAGCTCACCAGGGCTGCTGGGAGCCTCCAAGTGCTCGATGGTACTTCGTCCCAGGTAGGGAGCCCGGGTCACACGTCTGCTCTCGGGCCTCTGGAAGCGGACCCAGCCCTCACCCCACCCACAGCGCTCACCGGCCACACCCCAGCACCTGCACCCAGGGGACAGACCAAGGGTCCCGATGGTCAGGCCAAAGGCAGGCCGGCGGGAGGGATGCACGGCAGCAGCAGTGGGAGCCCCGGTCAGACCCCACGAAGTGTCCGTGCCTGCCGGGCCCCGGCCACGCTCACAGCTGCCCCCGGAAGTGCCAGAGGGAAGCAGACAAGGAAACAGAGGCTGCAATTGACACAGCCCATGGCGTGGGGAGAAGCCGGGGAAGCTAAGGTGACCAAAGCCGACCCCTCTCACTCGAGGGAGCCGGCCGGGCCACTGCACAAACGACGGGACGGCTCCATCCTGCCCAGCTCCCCCAACCCCGGGCCACCCCGCACATCACACGGGGGCAGGGCCCTCGCCGCCATCTCCGCGAAGCGTGAAGCGTGCCCCAGGCCTCCAATCCATTCCGGTGCTCAGACCCAGCCCCGGACAGGTCGCCATGGAAATGGTGCCAACTGGAAGGTGCACTGCAGTGACACGGAGCCCAAGGCCCTGGACGCACCCAGGTCCCCTGAGCATCGAGAGGCTGGCGCTCACCCTGCGCCTCCATCCCTGAAACACACCAGGCGACACTGGGTGTGATGTTTTATTTTGCTTCTTAAACAAGCCGTACATTTTCTCCTGAGACATCTTAAAGGGTGCCTAAATAATCAAGCAACCAGATTTCTTTATCTTCCAGAACACGGGTCAGTGAGGCCGTCTGCAGGGCCTGCCAGGAGCCTGGCCATTCTCATGGACCCCAGAGCTCTCACTCTGGCATCTCCCGCACCCACGGATGGCAGGCACCAGGGACACATCGCCCAGGATGACCCCTGTCCACGCGCAGGCCAGACAGCTTCAGCAGGGGAGGCCATCACGGCCGCAAAACGGCTGTGCGGACCCCATCACAGCTCATGACCGATGCCACCCCCGGGGCCCAGCCGCCCGCTTGCCTGACGGTGTCTGTGCACCCACAAGGGGCCCCACGTCCCCACAAAGGCTGGGCAGTCACCAGGTGTCTCTGAGAATCCAAGCCCTGTCCTAAGAAGTAAGGCATTTTCTCACGTGGAGGAGTTTTCGACATGCATGTGGCTGGGAGCTGGGGCAGACGAGAGGCGAGAGGCGTGGACAGTCGCCCATACCCCTTCACACAAGGCGGCCACAGTTCACAGCATGATGGCTGTGACCACATTTTCGTGCTACGATTTTTAACTGTTAAGTTCTTAAATGTGCGAATACACCATGATTTGTTCAACAAACATGTAAAGTGTTTCCATTTTTTTACCCTTGTGAACAATGCTTCAGCAAAGTGCTTACAAAAGAACCTTTGCCCCTGGAGAGAAATCCTGAGAAGTGGGCCATGCTGGCCGTCGGGCCCCGTGGGCCATGCACCCTCCTGAGGGCCAAGGCCATGCTCCGGTACACGGGACACAGATGGCGGTCACCGCTGTTAGCAGAGCTGCTCCCTGCAAGGCTGTAGGCCGGGGTCCCAGCTGCAGGGGCGACCAGAGCATCTGGCAGCTCTTGGACCCGCGAGGAAGCAGCCTTTCCCGGGTGGCGGCTCCAGCCTCCCCACGGAGGGCCCGCAGACAGGTGGGTCCGGGTGAGGGTCCAAGACAGGACAGAGGGAAGGGCACCTAGCCTGGCACGTCTGGATGGACCGCACCTGGCAGCCCCCACTCTACGTCTCCCTTCCTGTCTGACCACCAGGCCCGGCCCGACCTGCCTGGTCGACGAGGCAGCAGCACGGCCCTCCACACCTGCCTCCCGCCGGTTCCCCCAGCACAGACCCCGGTTTTCACGTCAGCACGGAACACAGCAAGTGCACCACCCACTCTGGGATGGAAAAGACAGGTGAGGAGACAAGCTTTTAGGTTATTTTATTTCAAATAACTTTTTTGAGTTATTTTCTGCTTTCTATTTTGCTTCTATAAACATAAAATTAAAATCTGACTTATTTACTCTAGTCTGCATTTAACAATTCAGACCTACATGTTAAAAAAACACTCATCTCTGAACATAAGTGCTGTACTTTTTCCCCAGAAACACAGTTCAGCTGCACGAGCATGAGCGTGACCCCCACCCCACGCCTCCACTGGGCACACAGCTGCAGGCTTCTGAACCTACCCCTACTGCGCCATCAGGGAAGTCCCGAATATCCACAAACTGGGCAGCTTAAAGCACCAGACACCTGTCCTCTCTGTCCTGGAGGCCATACATCTGAGGTCAAGGTGTGGGCAGGGCCGCACTCTCTTCAGAGGCTCCAGGGGAGGGTCCTTCCTGCCTCTTCCAGCTTCTGGAGGCCCAGGCGGCCCTGGGCTTGTGGCTGCATCTCTCCCGTCTCTGCTTCCGTCTTCTCGTAGCTTCTCCTCTGTGTCTGTGTCTCCTGTCTCTTATAAGGACACCCATCACTGGATTTAGGACCAACTGGATATTCCAAGGTGATGTCATCTTAAGATCCTTAATTTAATTATGTCTGGAAAGACACTTTTTCCAAATAGGGTCACATTCACAGGTACCAGGAATTAGGATGTGCACGTGTCTTTTGGGTGGAGGGCACCATGCAACCCACTACTTTCATGAACAGTACTGAGGAAAGTTTTCATTGACTGTTATGATTAAAATAACTTCACATTGGGCTCCCCTGGTGGCGCAGTGGTTAAGAGTCCGCCTGCCGATGCAGGGGACACGGGTTCGTGCCCCGGTCTGGTAAGATCCCACATGCCGCGGAGCGGCTGGGCCCGTGAGCCATGGCCGCTGAGCCTGTGCGTCCGGAGCCTGTGCTCCGCAACGGGAGAGGCCACAACAGTGAGAGGCCCGCGTACCGCAAAAAAAAAAAAAATAATAATAATAATAACTTCACATGGGAAAGAAGCTAACAGTTCCATAACGCGTGGTTTATAGTCTATATGTCTTAGAAGACCTTTCAACGTCATGTAGTTTGACTCTCATAAACACACTAATAAAGCCTTAAAAATCCACATAGAGAAAAAGTAATTGAAATAAATGAAAAAGCACAAATAGCATCAAATTGAAACAGACACTCTCTACCAATCTGCCCTCAAAATGGAGCCCTTTTGTCTGGAACCAAGTGTCCAGGATGAACGGCAAGCTTGAAAATGAGGAAGTGACGTCAGAAGCTGGCACCAGATTAAAGTATGAAGTGCAGTAACACTGAGCTACGACTTTGCAGAAACGTACATATGAGAATACCACTCAGCAAAGCAGCCTTAGAGGAAGCCACGTCTCCGCGCAGCCCTGCAGAGAATCAGAGCTGTCGTAAACGTCACTGATGAGTGAACGTTCCAGAACGACTTCAAGATAACGCACAGGACACCAAGGGACTGCCAGCAAACGGAAGGCCCTGGCAGGTGGCAGGTGAGCACAGAGGGGAGGCTCCTCCGGAAGGGCACTCAAGTCCTTAATCCGTCACTGTCCTGGATTTGTACTCTTCCTCTGATCGTAATTCTCAAGACACTGCACTTCAAGTGCATTTCAGAAAGGGATTCTAACGTGGACCAAACTTTGTTTTTCCATTTGTAAATTCATGCGGCTGCCACTTATCGTGTGTCAGAATATAGTGAAGCTATGATGTGTCCAAATTACTTTCGGAAGGTTTTGAACCATACGTGACGTGCACACACCTTAAGTGTACCTCTCGGTGAGCTTTTACCTGCAGAAAGACCTGGAAACCACCACCCGAACAGGACACCGCACACCCAGGGGCCTGCGGCTGGTCAGTACCACCCACCCCAGGCGACAGCCACTCGGCTACCCATCACCAAACGCTGGGCTACAACTCAGTCTGTGGGGACCTGACACCCAGGTGTGGCCTTGCTCGTTGCCATGTTGTCATCCACGTGACCACAGGACCCCGTGCCTGTTCGGCAGCGATGGGCAGTGGGCCAGGGTCTCACTTCTGCCGGACGCGCACCTGAGGACATGTGGGCCCCAGTGGAATCAGCATCTCCCAGCCACCACCGACGCCTCGCCCCGGTCATTCGCACACCCTCTTCTGTGACGTGCTTGTCACGTCTTCTGATCCTTCACTGAGCTGCGTTTCCTTTGATGTTTTATTCTTGGGGGTATTGTTTGTTTGTTTGTTTTTTTAATTTTCTGGCTGCACCGCATGGCACAGGGGATCTTAGTTCCCCGACCACGGATTGGACCCGGGCCTCCTGCATCGGAAGCTCCAAGTCCTAACCACTGGACCGCCAGGGAAGTCCCATATGTTAATTTTTTTAATAAAAAATTTTATCAAACTTTCATCGC